GCGGATTGAGGGGCGGGGGGCCGCTCGCCTGCCGTCTCTCCTCTTCCGCCGGGACTTCCTCGCCTTCCCCCCCCAGCCAGGACGGGCGTGGGGCCCGGTCCGGAGAGCTCCTGCGGACACCCCGCGATGCGTCTGAAGGTCATTAGATGCCTCTTTTTTTTTCTGAGCACCGCTTTTGCACGGCCGGTTTGTTACATAAGAAGCGTTGGGAGGAGGAGGAAGGGTGGGGGGGGGTCGGTTCGGAGCCGGGTCCGAACCGCCGGCGGAAAAGAGGTTCGGGCTGCCCGAGCGCTCGGGCGCCCGTCGGCAACGCTCCTTGGCGGAGTCCCGGTGTCGGCTGGGATTCGTGAGATCGCAGGCCTTCCTGTCATCCTGGTCGGGGCCCACGGAGTTTGCGATTTCTAGCCTATTGGCGGAGGCGATATCACGTTGGGACCAATGTGCGTGTGTGTGTGCATCTCCTCCTGCTTCAGCCGGTGTTCGGGGCAGGCCTGATGATTCCCCTGGAGCCGGGGGCAGGTCCCTCTTCCTTGGGTCTGTGCAGGGCAGCCGTGGGGCAGCGCCAGCTCCTGTCCCCTGCCGTCCCCGCAGCAGCTTCGGGGGTCGCAGCCGTGTAGTTGTGTGACGGGGTCGATTGTGTAGTTTTAGGAACGGGTTAGGCGAGGACTTGCCGTGGGATTGTTTGGATAGGGATGATCCTGCCTCGAGCAGGGGGGTGGACTACATGAGGGTCCTCCAGCCCTGCTTGTCTCTGATTTCAGAGCCAAGGGAGCGGGCAGTGTGTGGCTTTGGCTTCCTGAAATGGCCCCTTGGTAGGATGTACTGCTGGTCCCTGAGCACAACAGTCATGATTACCCAGCCTCCCCGCTGCTAATTATCTCCACTGTAAAACAAATATGCATGTTTATGGACCCGTATGTGGGGAAGGTCCCTACTTCGAAGAGTTTACAGCCTAAATGAGGATTGGATGCATGCAGGAGTGATTCATGCCATGGCTTTCGTTGATATTTGTTTGAGGAGCCAATGGGACAATATTTCAGCTTGTCCCGGGTTTAAAGAGCACCTACGGACACTGGTTAGGGTTGAGTTGGAGGAGCTGGCAGACTTACAAATTCCAGCAGTTTGCGACAGATGTGTGTTTTGTTTTGTTTTTTTCAAACACTATTGCCTCCTATATCCACGGACAGGTTATTGGAGATGAGGCATGCCTCATCTCATAATATATTCATTCAGTCGTTAATATTCATTCTGGCTGCTCCTGTGGTTTGTTCTGGGAAACCAAAGATTAAAGCAGCACAGCCCAAACGTGGATGACATGGTGGGGCTTTTCCATTCGGCCCTAATCATGTTAGGAGTATAGGGAGGGTTTTGGAGGATTAGAGATGTCACAGCGTAGGCAGTGGATAAAAGTTGTTCCATGTTATGCTGATCCGTGCCTCTTCGTGGGCTCACATGCGCGCCATGTTGCGTTGTGGGGTTGAGACACGCTAATGGTTCGCCAGTTTCCAATGAACTGGCTTGGAGAGTTGAGTGCTTTTACCCTTGGAAAATGTGCTCTGTTCTGCTTTCTAGTACTGGGGGAATGTGAAAACTAACAGGTGTTCCTCTGCCATAAAGCGCTGGTTTCCCGAAGGAATGCAAAGTTCGTTGAAAAGTTACACGTTTCAAAGATAAGGTGCTCACTGGTGTTACGAAGTTGCCCAGTTAGCTGTGGGGTGCTGTAAGAACCAGCCATAGACCCCATGTGCCAAGCTGAGTGCTTCTCCTGTGCCCAAGTTGAACTGGAGGCCTGTGGAAACCCTGCCCTGATAGGAAAGTCAGCTCCAAGCATCTGAGATCTGGTGTTTAACTTTGATTAAAACTGACGCTTGAGGGGGTTTTACCACTCTTGCAACGCCACATTTATTGAGAGAGAAGTCTTTTGTGACAAACAGTTACACTTCCACTTGTTATCTTGCTAATCAAAGCCATTCTCAGCTATGGAGAGACCTGTTCCCATCTATAATTAAAAGCCTTTTGATGAGAGTGTTTCAGCAAGGGAGAAAAGGAGCATCTAGGATGTGGAGAAGTATTTGTGCCAGATCCCATGACTCTCTGATCCAAGCTAGGTTGGTTGGTTGGTTGGGTTGTTTGTTTGTTTCTTTTGTATTTGGGGCTCTTTTGATTGGCCAAAGCACCTGTCAATCAGTAGGACATCCGGGCCTCCAATACCTGTGCTTGAAGCATCCCGCTAAGCCTGGAGGAGCTCCAGGAGGACGGCAAAATAAGTGACTGAGATCAGAGCAGCGCTGGGATGCTGTGCAGATAGGCAGAGGCAGGCCTTTGTTTCTCATCCCACTCCCATGCGGTACAGTTTTTTTTCCCCGCTCTGCATTGAGCTCAAATGTCACTGTTTGGACTCTGAGTAACTTTCCCCATTGCAGTTGAACCCGTGAAGGTTGATCTAATCCATTCCTCTGTGTGCAAGTATGGCTAGCAGAGGTGAGAAGGAGGAACTCTCTCCCAGCCCTCAAGGCCTGCTGCGTTACGGAGATTTTCAGTTTTCCCTGAAGCATCAGACGGCCACTGCTGTAGGTGGGACATGACTGGGGGGTCTCTGGGTCTGTTCAGGTGTGGCAGGGGGAAGGGCACTGCCCAGGTGGCATGTGCTAGCCTGGCTGCAGGTGGAAGGCAGGAGCAGGTGGGTGAGGAGTCTGTTCTGATATAACCTAGTGACACAGTGCTCAGCACTTCCATTCCTCTTCCAGCCTACTCACTATCATTCTCGCCCGTCAGAGTTATGGTCTCAAACAGAACAAAATTATGTCTCCGTCTCTGGAAGGGTGGTTCAGTGACCTACGTTTTCACAGAAGAGGACACATGTAAATGTATCCTCACCCTGTTAGTTGTTCTGGTTGCTCATTCCACCTTATACTTGCTCTTTTGCTCTGGATTGGTGGGAATTCGCTTTCCTTCCTGGTTCACATGCCCAGTTTCTGCCCACTGGCAAAACTAGAAACTGATAAGTACACAGCTATTTTTTTCCCTTAATGAATGTGTATCCCACTCTGAGCTGGGAAAGTGTCTATAATCTATAAGTCAGGCTTGTAGCTACAGGTAGCTGTTCTCTTCTTGGTTGAAGCCTCTTGCCCGAACAGGTAGAGGTAGAGGTTCAGCACTCCCACCCATGGTTGCTGTACGATCAGTTCTTGCGCTGGGAGGGGTCGGGGAGGAAGAGTTAAAGGCAGGAGTTTCCAGGAATTTCTTATGACACACTTACTCCTGGGATTCGTTTTTATACTCCAAGAGAAGAAAGAAGTGAAGAGCTATCTGTTCAGCCACAAACTAAAAATTACATAAGTGCCCACCCTGCCGTTTGTGCTTGGCTTTGTCAGTAAACTCGAACCTTATTCTTTTATTTTTTTCCTTCCTGGTGCGGAAAAAATGCGTGGCCTTTGGGGTGCCATTTGAGGTAACCGGAGTCAGGCTGGATCTTGGTTCCTGGAACTAGAAAGCTGGGGGTAGTAGGGAAGGAAATGGAAGGCTTTCTCAGGGTCAGGGGTTTGGAGGGCTGGGGGGGCAGGGACCTTGAAAGGGAATCTAGGAAATGGTTTCAGATCTGAGGAGGAGCATTTGCCTTTAAGCTCACAGCAGCACGAGTGGAAGGGGGGAGGGGGCAAGCAGCTATTGAAGTATCTATTTGGAATTTGTGCAAATGCTTGTTTGCACAATGCAAGGTTTGCGAGCTCATTTGGTAGGGAGCAGTCACAGAAGAGGGGACTGGTTAATCCCCAGCAAAAGAAAGAAGCGAGTGGGGACTTGGAGCACTAGTCATCAGGGGCAGATCCTGCGGGCCTTCCCGAGCTGTCAGGGAGAGCTCTGGTTACACAACAGGAGTTCAGCGCAAGCAAAGAATTCAGGATTTGGCCTCGGATGCCTGGTGTCCATTCATGCCTCGTCTCCCAAAGAGGTAGAACAGAAATACGGCCTACCTAGCAGGGGCCTTGCCCTTGCCCAGATGGAAATTTACTGGACTGACTTTCCCCCTCGATACGTGCTCGAGTCCTTCGGTGGCACCATGCCAGGCAAGGCTGGAGATTCCTCCGTTTGTGCTTTGCTGAGTAGTGGGTTAGCACTCTCGCCGTGGGATGTTTTATTTATTTATTTTTTAACGATGATTCTCTGGGCTGGTTCAGATACTTTATTTGGTGATGTGGAGTCTTGTGCTCTTTTGAAATGTTGTCAGCTTATTTTTATGCAGTACATGGTTAACTCCAGCTTTGCAGTCTTCAAGATCTAAGTAATTCTTTCTCTTCACAAACGGACTGTATTTCAACCCTGGCCTTAAAATGGAAGCCCTCAGTTACTAATTTAATTCCATGGATTTTTTAATTTATTTATTTTTGTCCCCCTTTTGCAAAAATGATTAAGACGGAGATTCTCAACATGGCTGCAGGAATTGAATACCCAAAGACAGCGAGAGCAGAATACTTCACTGTTCTCCACTTCTGAAAATCTCTGAATGTGGTTCGGTCACGATTCTCGGTCTGTTTCTTCATTACCATTCCAGAACAATTTAGGGGGAGCAAACCAACTGGACGGTGACAAGCACACCGATCACATTCGCTGTGGGTCTCGACAGGACTGGATTCAGCAGTGATATAAGGACCTGCCATTAAAACCAGCACGTGGGGTGAACTCGGTGACAAGCGACTGAAACGATATTGCAGTGTCTTAATAAACGAGCGGACGTTCATGCAGAGGATGGGTACACAAAACTCGACTGTTGCTACACATATACATAAGTCAAGAGACATTCCTGCCGGATTAAATGTGGTCTCTGATGACAAAGGAGAAAATTGGCATGGAGGTCTGGGTGGAGTAACCTGTTGAGACTAACCTTGCAACACAAGATCAGTTTTAGTTTGCCCTAGTTTTTCACATCAGTGGCAAAAAGGGCTGTGTGTTGACTTATCACAGAATCACTCTAATGGGCCTCCTGCTCCAGCCCTAAGTAGGGTGGGTGGGTGGGCGGACAGGTGACTGGGCTTGATTTGTATTTTGCAGCTTGATGGGCTTCCTCCTCCCACTGTTCATTGGGGAAGAGCCTTGTCACTTGAGCATGTGATTTGCCATCCTGGATCAGCCTGTGGGTAGGTAATGGCATCTTGCTTCCGACATTGGCCAATTCCTGATGCCTCTGTAGAAGCTGATCTTCCCCGATGCGCTCTGCAGCTTGTGTACAAGCAGGAAGAGGATTCCTTCCTGATGCCTGGAGTGAGCAGCGGTTGCCCTGAAACACGAGGCTTGATTTCCTCATGTCATTTTGCACGGACTTAGGTGTAATAACCAACCATGCAAAAACCCTGCTAGAGCACTCCTCTCTTGCTCTCTTTCCTGTGGCAGTGAATTCCAGGGGGTGATCGAACAATGGAGGTCTTGTCCCACTCGGCACTGGCAGCGAACTCCCACTGAAGTGTTTAGAGCACCCAGGAAGAGGCCTTGCATGGAAAGCTCCTGCTGCTGCTTCCGCATTTCCCTGCACTACCTGCCAGGTGTTCCTTTGTCCCTGCCTCATGGCACAGCCAGAAAATGGATGGATCAGCTTTCTCACTGCTCTTCACAATACTACTGCTGTGGCCCCTTTAATTATTATGTGCTTTTTGGTAATGCTCACAGACCTGAGATATGGGCTGGGGGGCTGCACCCATGTGTGAGAGACTGCCCCTTATCCAGAGAATTTAGAGTCGGTAGAGGAGGCAAAGAGGGGACAGGGAGGTAAAGTGACTCGCCCAAGGTCACACCTCAGGTCATTGGCAGAGCCAGAAATAGAGCTCAGGGCTCCTGACTCTCAGTTCACTGCCCGTCTGCCAGTTTCCACTGCCGGTGATTCTTTTTTTTCCCTTCCAGGCTGAAATCCTGGTGTCTTTGTACCCTCTCATCAGTTGCATCGCTCTCTCATTTCGTATATCCATATGACTGAAGAAATTACCCCCTTTAACATCCTCCGGCAGCTTTGTGTTTGGGGCCATCATGTGCAAGGCATTTAAATTTTAGCAGAGCCAGAAATGGAAAAGTAACAGCGTTTCCACCCTCCCTCCCTCCTGGTGGGCACTACACCAGTGTCCCTAATAATCTCCTTCAGAGCAATGCAGAGTACTAGACTTTTGAACATCTCATTAAATTCAAAGAGAACTATTGATACTGCAGATCCAGCTTGCATTGGGTAGTAATTATCGTTCTCCTTCATCCCAGCTCTATGCAGGGAGAGGTACAAATCTCAAGTTAGTCACCGAGAAGAGGAGCCAGGCTTGTTTTCTTACCTATGATTCGATGATTTAGGGCTGTTTGCGGTCCGTCATACTTTGTACTCAGAGCTTTGCAAAAAATAAGTGATGCTACGGCATAATCCCAAGCGGTGGTTAGAGATGACAACCGTGTATTATGCATAAGGTAGCTATGGATGGAAGTGGCTTGCTCGCATGCCCTGGCGACTCTGTGGTGAAACTGGCAGCAGAACTCGGGGTTCGAGATTCCCGAGTTTCTGCTCTAACCACTCCCTTATGCTGCCTCAGTGCAGATGCTTGGTTAACATGTCAAAGAGCAGGGTGGAACTCGATACGCAATGAGATGTCTTTGCTAAGTCATCCTTCAGCTGCTGTCATTGTTGACACAGCAATAAAAGGCAAAAGAGAGAAAAAATCAGAATGCTGAAACGGTTGTAAGCGGGCTGGCCTGGGAATATGCAGCAGTCCCGTGGGAGGCCTAGTGACAGCAATCTGCAGTTTATCTGAGTTAATTGAGTGCTGCTGAATTATTCCCCAAACTTTTTTCTTCTCTGGAGTCGCTGGGTGATGCTTGGTGTGAGCTTAATGCCAGAGCAGAAAAGACTGGTGTAGCTGCCAGTCTTTGGTGTAGCTGCTGGGATTTTTGCACCTAAGTTTTAGATGCAAATATCGAAGACCAGTCTCAAGACTGCCAAGATGATCAAACCAATCTAGGCTCTAAATGAGCGCAGGATGCAGCTGTTTTTGCTCTAGGAAATGGCTGTTGGGATTCATGGTGGGAGGGGGAATGCCTTTCTGCATTGGCTTTGTGTGTTTGCCCCTCTTTGATTAGCAGGTTCCAGGGAAAAGCCAGCTGGGGGCATGGCTCATTCTGCAGAATTGTGCCCTGGTGCAGGGGGGCCAGTCCCCCTGGGGAAGCTCTCTGCAGCTCAGCCATGGCTCTGGCAAGAGAATGGGGTAAGTTTGTTGGAAGGGCCCAGACCATCCACTTGAGCCAAACGCCTCCATTTCAAACCAGATCCTAAAAGCTCTGGGGGTTTGCCATAACTCGGGTACTCTCCTGAGCAAGATCTCACCCATTTCAGTTTTAGCCTGTGTTTAACAGTCTGAGGTTCCTGGCACCAGTTCTCAAGGTCCAAATCTGGCAGGGTTGTGTAACACAGGTGCACGCACATGCTCACGCAAACACACGTGTGCACACAGCATGCATATCTGGGCATCTTGTTGCAGAGGTTCCCAACCCCTGGGCTGCAGCCTGGTATCGAGCTGCAGTGGGTTGGCTGCTGGACCATAAGTCCAGAAGTGACCGGCATACTGTGGACCCGAAGCCAACCCTTTTTTATACTGAGTATATTAAAAAAAAAAAAAAAAAGCTGGCTGCCGGTCCGCAGCATGCCGGTCTCTTTCGGTCTGCGGCTTGCTGGTCCGCAGTCTAAAAAGGTTGGGAACCACTGCCTTGTTGCCTTATTTTAGCAATGCAGTTGGGTTGAGTGACCAAAACTCAGCCTGTATTTGCCACTCCTGCAGCAGCTAACTTGAAATGCACTTGGTTGTCAGCCTGGTTCCTAACAGATGAGTATCCACATCTCAGAAGCTTCCATCACACTTTGCCTAATCGGGCCTCCAGCCTGACAGCCTCAGCAGAGGTCCCATAGGGTGTTCCTTGAGGTGACTTCTCCAAAGCAGAGGCTACTAGGGTGGCTGTCAGTAGGGGTCGGGTGAGCGTGATCCAGGGAATAGGGTTCAGGGAGTCGAGAGACATGGCTTCACCCCTGACTTGCAGTGTGATGTGGGGCAAGTCATTGCCCCTCTCTGTGTCTCAGTTATTCAGGCATGGATCTCAAGGATAGGTCTTCAAGCTGTTAAATCAGAGAAATATAGCTCTGGAAGAAGAGACGGGCTGGCCCTACCCCCTGCTCTCTGCAGGATCATCCCTGCCTAAGTCCTTCCAAATGTGGGGCCTAACCTGCAATTAAAAACTTCCAATGACAGAGCTCCCACAACATCCCCGGGGAATTGGCTCCAGTGCTGAATCACCCTCCGAGCTAGAAAGTCCTCCCTAATATCTAACCTACTTCTCCCTTACTGCAGTTCAGCCTATTACTTCTCGTCCTGTCCCCTGTGGACACGGAGAACAATAGCTTGCCATCCCCTTTATAACAATCCTTTCTGTATTTGATCTGTTCTCAAATCTCTCTCCGTGCTCCCCCGTCCCTCCATGTTTTTGTCTTTAAACTAAATAAACCCAGGCCTTTCCAACCTTTCTTCATGTGTCACATTTTCTGGACCTCTGATCGTTCCTGTTGCCCTCTTCCCAAACAGAGGATTTCTCTTTCTTCTGTTATCCAAGCCAGTATAGGTATTTGTGTTTAATTTTTAACTGGCACTTAATTGGGGGGGATTACGATTTTTAAATTGCATCCTTTTTTCTTTTAATGTCCAGGATCTTCACCTCAGGAACATGCATGTGTTTTGCAGGTCCACATAATTCAGATACTTTGGCAGTCAACTGCTGAAAGCCCATTCCTTTTAGAGAGCAGTTGAATTTTTATAGAGCCAAGGAGTGGATAGTGTGGCTTCTACCAGCTGGGCAAACGCCCAGCTTTTAGAAAGATTTTTGCTTCCTCCAGAGTGTCATGAATCCCACCTCTTGGCTCCGTGCTGTGTTTCCCAAGGCCTGGAGGGAGGATCTTGGGCGGAGAGAAACCTGCTCGGGCTTGCCTTGTGATGTTGCAGGGAACGTCGTTGGCAAAGCCCGGCTCCTTCCCCGTATGATCTGAGAGTTGCGTTCATCTCTAGGGATCTGGGGCCACGTAGTTGGAAGATGGGGGAGGAGGGTAGAACCAAGGCAATTGTTGCCTAAATATCAATCAAACAGACAAGGGCTTTGTATGACTTGTAATTGGGGTGAGCTATTCATAGGGAAAAAATGCCTGATTCTCCAGTCGGTGGTGGTTGGAGGATAGGATAATATTTGGGCTGCGGGCAGCAAACCACAGACTTTTTAAAATAGCAATACTGATTTATTTTTTTTAATGGCAGCATTGTTTTAATACTCCTTCTCCAGCAGGCAGCAACGCCATGGCTAGACTCGTTCCAATACTATAACGTGCGGCCATACCCTCAGCGCACAGACTTGACGGCTCACGGTCCCAGGTCTTTGACGTAGCAAGTCAAATGCCCGGCACCTTCAGGTCTGAAACGGAGTTGTTCCCATGAAGCCTCGCCCCTGAGATGCCAGCAGCGCGGTGCCCTGAAGCCAGTTCACCTCGTTCTCATCTGGGAATGAGAGAGGCTTTCCTTTCTGCCCTCGCCTCGTTGTGTAATGTTATTAAACAGCTGACGCATTGCCAGAGTGGGTGGCATTTCAGCAGCGAGGGAAGAGGCCTGTCTTTGTGAAGCGTGCTGGGATGCGTCGGGATGAATGGTGCTCTGCAAACCCCCAGCGCTATTATTGGCCGTCTCGCTCTGACTTACACCTGCTTGCCTCCGAGCTCTCATGAGCTCATGAGGCTCCTCCTTTCATCCAGGGCAACTTTACATTACAGCAGGGAGGCAGAACTCAGTCGAACCAGCTAAGACATCAGGAGGACCCCAGCAGCGCACCATGCTGATGTCAACTGTCCCTTATTTGGATCCTGACTTGACATGGACCCCATGGCTTGAATTAAAAAAATCTCAGATGGCTGCTTTAGTGATCAGTTGGGATCTGTTAATTAAATAAAAGCCAGCTCCATTGTAATTCTTAATTAACTTTTATTTCTCTGCCTGTTGAAGAAAGAGTAGCTAATTTGACTCTAGTCTGAAAGAAAATAATAATGTAATTTTAAAAGAAACTTTTTAATGTAAATCTTCCGCTCCAAGGTAAAGTCGGCCTTAAGCGTGGCAACGATTTATGAGTTTACAGCTAGGATTATTGCAACTGAAAGCAATCAACCGCCTGTTGGGAAGTGTTTCTTTTTTTTTTTTGCCCATTCATTTGTACCTCTGATTGTGCTTTTTGCCTTATTGGTTTCACTCTGTATCCTGAAGACACAAGCTTTGTCCAGGGAGATTAAGCTTAACGCTAGGAAGTATTCCCTGTTAGGGTAGGGAAGCACCAGAACAGGCTGCCTCGGGAGCCGGTGGAATTTCCTTGAGGGGTTTGAAAACAGGTCGGACAAACCTGTCTGAGAGGCCTAGGTACATGTGAGCCTGTGTCAGCGCAAGGGGTTGGACTAGATGGTCTCCTGAGGTGCCTTTAAGCCCATTAGTGCTAGGGTTCAGTGCATTAGGTTGGCTAGGCTGGTATAGGTACATCTACACTGGGACTTGGATTGCCATAGCTATGTTGTAGTGGACGTTTCCTCTCCTGGGCCCATCAGACCTCACGCTGACCAGCTCGGGGCCAGCTGGCAGCTATGCCTGTGGCTTTTATCGTGCACACATCCGCCTGTTTAGAACCCCAGAGTCCATTCCCGCCCCCATGCTCGATTCAAACTAGGCCCTGTGGGGCCGTAGCACCAAGATGACTTTCCACTGCTACCGGCCTGGGCTGCTTTTGGAAACTGTAAAAGTGGAAAGCCCCATATCTCATTACTCATCCCCTGAGCCACCTAGTCCTGGCCTTTCTGGAAGGGCCTTGCCATTCAGCTCCCCTTAGGAAGGCAATGGGATACCATTTCTGCTTCCCGTTTTGAGGACCTGAGCAGGACACCAGGTACCGAGCCTGGGAGCTGTTGGCTAGACGCTCAGACGGCTGCTGCTGCGGTGCGGCTGTTCGTCCCAGGGAGCCTGGAGGCTGGGAGGAATCGCAGGGGAATGACATTGTTTCGGGCCCCCTTGCCTTCTCGGCTGCTGTGAATCTGAACCGTAGCCGGACACAAAAGGCACGTTGTGCGAGTAGAATAAGTTGCGAAGTGTACCACTTTCCATGCCAACGCTGGGAGTCTCATGACCCTGCAGCCGTTCCCACACTATCCTGCTGATTGTCCCGGCCCCCACGGCGAGTGGCAATTAACTCTTGCCTGGCTGCCTGGCTTGGGGCTGGGGGTGGTATATGATGTGGGTAGGCTGCCCAGAAAATAAGTCACCTGGAGCTTCAGTCTTGCACCCAGTCCCGCTCCCTTTAGGAAGCAAAAAGCTCCCTGCACTGTCTAATGCAGCAAGTTGTCCTGGCTCTCACTGTTGGGGCCAGAGTGATGGCCCCCTCACCAAGGTGACAGTAATGTCTCTTTACAGACATGGATGGCTTAAGGCAGGAGTGGCCAACGTGGGTGTGCAGCCCCTGTGCGTGGCACGTGGCACATCAGGGAGGGAGCAGAGCAGCCTGTTGGGCAGGAGAAGGGGGTTGGAGTGGCACTCCGGGAGCGTGTGGGGCTTAGCTTGTGACACCCCTGCCAAAAAGTTTGGCCCCCACTGGCTTAGGGGGTTGTGCTGATGGTAAACCAGGCCAGCTGTGTATAGCTGGGTGCTCTTAGGAGCCTCTTCTCTGTACTGTCCGAACGCTTCAGGATCACCGGCAAATGGGCAGAAAGCCCAGTGAGGTTAGGAAGGATTGTTTAGTCCTGTTTTACAGATGAGGAAGCTGAGGCAGAAAGAGAGATGAAGTCATTTTCCCAAGGTCACACAGCCCACAGCAAAGTGAAGGCCTGGGCCGCATTTTTACGAGTCCGCTCTCAGCACTCAGCTCTAACCTCGCCTCTCTCTGAACAACACCAGCCCAACAGCCCAGGCTCCCTTTTTGTTGCCAAAACAAAATCCTCCTTTCCAGCGGGGCAGGATTTCAAACCCCATGAAGCCAGGCCCTGCATACAGTGTGAGAAGCCACTTCCGTCATGATCCATATGACGTGCTACGCTCGCCTGGTTTGGCAGCTCCTACTGGGGCCAATGGCCAGGATCCCATTGATTTCACTGGGAAGTGACATCCAGACACATGCACAACAAACCCATCTCCAGCTCTGAAACCCATTCCTGCCATTAAAATCAATCTCTCTTGTGCTTAGATACAGTCGATTTCATTAAGAGCTCTATCGGGCACTTCCAAATGCCAGTAACCCTCTATTGGAGCCATTTCTACACCTTCACGCTGGATGGATGTGGGTGTTGCCGCGAGAGAACCGCCTCTGCACTGGGATTGATGTGGCTATTCATACTCTTTGAATGAGGAATGAACAGCAGGAGGTGTGGAAACATGCCTTCCTCTTACACAGGGATGTTATGAGAAAAGGTTCAGCTTGGAGAGAGAGTCAAAAAGAAAATTAGTAACAGATAAAAGCGTGTGTGTGCAGAGGATATTGTTTGACTGCTTCAGGTGCTGTGGCTGGTTGCCATCTCCCAGTGCCAGCACCTACAGCTAGAAACTGCTTCATGCACCAAGGTGCATCAGGTCCCTGCCCCGTGCTTCAGTTTTCCCGTTGACAAGGCAGGGATGATGTTGCTCACCCGGGTGGTTTGAGTAGTCTGAGAGCTGTGCCGGGAAGGTGCTTTTCAAGGGCAAAAGCTGCTTTCCTTTTTCTATTGTGATAATACCTCAGGGATCTAAGTGTAACGGGAGCTTTTGTGCCAGGGGCTGTGCAGCGAGAGGCACCCCCTGCCCCGGACAGCTCGCAGTCAAGCTGGGCAAATTGCTGCACAGAGTGGGAAACTTGGGCCTGGAGAGATTTAAGGCCACGTCTCTACAGAGGTTGGCCCAGCCTGCTCGCTCCTGCTCGGGGGCATGCCGGGCTGGCAGCCAGGCCATGTAAACAACTCTGGAGCAACCCCATGGCTCGCCATGTACACAGAGCCCGAGCACAGCCCTAGCGGGGGCTGGGGCCCAGCTGGGGCAGCCCCTGCCCCATTTACAGTGCCTTGTGACTGGTTGCTGCACCCCGGGGCGAGCAAGGGGGCAGGCGGATTTGTTCTCTAGCAGACTCGGGGTGGAGACACAGCCAAAGCGAGCTGGGGATTGACCTGGGGCTTTTCTGCTCCCCCCTCAGCCACAGGTTGCCCCTCTTTGGCTGGCAGATTGCTTGCATGAGGGTTGTCCAGCTGTAGCGAGGAAAGGTAGTTCAAGCTGAGCAGAGTCACTTGGCCTCGCTCTCCTGCCGGTGCCCCAAAAGAGCCTCGTCACTGTAGGAAATCGCCGTTCCCCTTCCCAGCGATATCTGTGGGCCTGGGCTGCAAGGTGAAGGGGGGGCAGGACGCTGCCCTTCGCCCGGGGCTCCTGCGCCGTCAGCACTTCGCCAGCCCTCCAGGAGCAGCTGAGTCGCTCGGCTGGTGCCTTTCATGCCACCTCAGGGTTGTTCTTGCTGGAGAGCAGATGGGTTTGTTGAGAGAGGGGAGGGGAAGAACGGCACAGCTGTGGGGGCCCGGGGTCCTGTGTGAAATCAGATAGGTAGGGACCCTGGCCAGGTCCTCCCCTCCAGCCTGCTGGGGTGGGAGGGTGTAATCCTGCCCAGCTGGCATGCCAGGAGCTCAGCCAGCCCTTGGGAGTGGGGGGGTATGAGGCACCTGACTGGGGACTGTGCAGGAGCACACAGAGTACACAGGGGCTGGGCCCAGGGGGAGCGAAGGCGGGCACTGTCCTTGGCAGTGCCGTGTATGGAATGGGCTCAGCCGTGCAGCAGCATGAACCACAGGCACACACAGCTGCTTGTCATGTCTTCTCCCTCCTGTGATACAAGGCTGCTTTAGCACAGAGCACACTGGGCTGGGACTGGCAAGATCTGCGTACATTAACTGTGCCATGGGGCCACTGGGGACCCAGGGCGAATCACTTGGTCCATCCTGAGACCTTCCTCCCTCCTCGGGTGGAGGTCAGGATAGACCCGTTCGTCGTTCCAAGGTGCTCAGGTACAGGATGATTGCTGGGGGTGAGAGGAGATTCACTCTCTGCATCTGTTTGGGTTTTCAGTCCTCCACAGAAGTTATACCACAGCCAGACTGAGACCCCCCTCTGCCCTCCCTCCCCTCTCCTTCCCTCCTCTGATCTTCAGCCACACTATGGCAGGCTGGTGCCCCCTCCTCTCATGCACAGTCCCCAGGCCCTTGCAGGGTTGGGAGCTGGGGCACCTGGTGAACTTCAGGGTCTGTCCATGCCCAGCAGCCTCACTTGTGACCCCTGTCCCCCTTAGATTTGTTGAGAAAGTTTCCAGTCTTTGCACTGGGCACTTCCGCAGCTGGTCAATATGGTCTTGTTAAGACCCCATTCTGGCATACTGTCTTCTTCAGTACTATTTGCCCATGCCCCCTTCACAGGGCAGTGCATATGGGTGCATCTACTCCTGGCTTCCTCTGTGAGTGTGGAAACACAGTAGGCTGGTCCATCTCTTGCAGGCATGGCCGAGCTGGTGCTGCAAGAGATGCTCTCCTCCCCCGGCTTGTTCGTAGATCATACCATGGGTTTGACCCATTCCTTTTTCGAATTGTTTTTCAGGCCATGGGTGAATTAGCAGGGTGGGGATGTCTCTGAAGGAGATGGCAGGACCCTGGGCACTATTTAACAAGCTGGACAAGCTATGACAGAAAAAGGGCTCAGCACAAAGGGGATGTTTGCTGCTACATGGAGGCTTATGCATGGGCCAATAAATAAAACCAACCATATTCCTTCCAGTATAACAGGCAGTATTGAAAACCAAGTCTTTCTTGTGAAACAGCTTGCGTCTTAAATTTGCATTCAAAACAATAAAGCAAAAGCTCCTACATGCACTGTGGAGGTTGTGCCTTGCCAACGTGCCTTTGTTGGATGTTTTACTTTCTCCCTTACGTTTAAGTTTCAAAAAATCTGGGGGTGTCTTCGTTTGAAGGGGTCTTGTATTTGAAGGGAAGTGCTGTGTCAGAAAGTGATCTGTTCAGGTACAAGAGCTCTCTGGAAGTGGAGGCCTCCATGACTTACGGTGTTTCCTCTTGTCTCTCCTCAGCCCTGCGTGTCGAAGATGGAGGGTGGCGTGGATGGTCCCATAGGGATCCCGTTCCCTGATCACAGCAGTGACATCCTGAGCAGCCTGAATGAACAGAGGAACAATGGGCTGCTGTGCGATGTGGTCATCTTGGTGGATGGGCAGGAGTTCCCCACCCATCGCTCTGTCCTGGCCGCTTGCAGTCAGTACTTCAAGAAGCTCTTCACCTCAGGGTTAGTGGTGGACCAGCAAAATTTGTATGAGATAGACTTTGTGAGCGTGGACGCCCTGTCGGCTCTGCTCGAGTTCGCTTACACCGCGACCCTTACCGTCAGCACTTCGAACGTCAATGACATCCTCAACGCCGCCAAACTGCTGGAGATCCAGGCGGTAAGCGATGTTTGCACGGATCTCCTGGACAGGAAGATTCTGGCCAAAAATGACCAGATGGATATAGTAGATCAAATTGATCAAAGGAACCATCTCAGAGCAAAAGAGTACCTGGAGTTCTTCCAGAGCAACCCCATCAATGGCCACCAAGGCAGCCTTCCGTGGACCAACCAAGACTTGAGAGACCTTCAGAGACTGAACTTCCAAGGCCAAGAGGAAGAGGAGGAGCCAGAATGCAACGGCATGGACTTCTACTCGCAAGCCCCCCTAAATGAAAGACCAAAGGTGAACGACTGTGACCCCGACAGCAACCAGGACATGTGGCTGGACAGAGACGAAGAGGAGACTGCTGGGTCCTTATTCCCACCTTCCCAGAATGGACATTACAGTGGACGTAGTCTGCCAGCCCCAGGAGATGATGATGCGGCCCAGGGGGGGCCTCTGGACCAGCAGGAAGCCAGCGACTCCCCCAGCTTTGCTCCTGGGGGGGCAGAAGTGGAGGATGCTGACACCAGGGATGTGGACAGCCTGGCTGCCAGCGCCCTGCTGCAGCAGATGATCAACTCTGTGGGGAGGCAGCAGCTAGGCGATGATGACCGCAAAGATGATGATGGGGTCATGGATTATTACTTGAAATACTTCAGCAGTTCGAACGAGAACGACGTGTATCCGTCCTGGTCCCAGAAGGAGAAGAAGATCAGGGCAAAAGCATTCCAGAAGTGCCCCATCTGTGAGAAGGTGATCCAGGGGGCTGGCAAGCTTCCCCGCCACATCCGGACCCACACGGGCGAGAAACCCTATGAATGCAACATCTGCAAAGTCCGATTCACGAGGTACGCGGGGCGGGTGGGACCTGGGGGCACTGGCGTGTCCTGCCACGGGGCTAGGGGAGGGGAATTGCACAAGCTTCACTTTCGGCTGGGTGGGGGAGGGGGGTCGGCTGTGCAAATCTTGCACAATTCTCTTCGCCCACTCTCCTGCAGTGACTAATTTCCGTCTTGCCAGGCAAGTAGATATAAAAGCCCACATTTTCCAAAGAGACGAGTGGTTGCAGGTTGCTGACAAGAGGTGTCTTAAAGGGGCCCTGGTGTAGTGTGGAGCGACTTGGGCCTCTTAGAGATAGGAGTAGCTCTCAGGTGTCTTTGAATGGGGTCCTTGATCAGTAGTCATGGCTAGAGATGGGATATTGTAGAGACCCTGGGGGATTGAGAGTCCATGGGAATTAGAGGGTCTCAGGGAGGTGGGTCCCAGCCCCAAGTGCTCTCAGCCTGGTGGGGGAGATTTGCTTTGCTCAGTGGGGCTGGGATCAGAACAAGGGGCAGTGAGCATTGATTGCCCCAGCTGACAAGTGTGCTGCAGGGAGGGAGCCAAGTGCAGGCCGCCCGGCCTGACCTCTCTGAACTCACTGTCTGCAAACCCTCCAGGATCAGAGCTGCTCTTGCTGCTGTTGCCTGGTCCTCCAGGATCTGGGAAGGGCTTGGGGCTAGATCTCTCCCTGTCTCACCTCCAGCCCGCTCCAGCAAATCAGGCAGTATGTTTGCCCCGGCAGCATTTCTAGTCAGGGGCCGTCTGCGCTTCCCCCTGCCATGGGAGCGCCGAAGAAAGGGTATATTGTTTGAGCAACTCCAGCTCGTCCAAGTGTTACAAAGCGCCCTCCTCCTCCTAGCCTCTGTGCCTGTGATTGCAACGCGAGGCTGGAGCCGGGGGTTCCACCCAGGGCTGTCCTGGCTGTGCCAAGCGGTTGTGTGGGCTGGTGGTGGAGGAGCCAAGCGGCTCAGCCTGCTCAGCCTGCTGAAGTGTTCGCAGCCCTGGGAGCCCTGATGGCTTTGCTTTCAAGGGAAACCGTCCTTTCCAGTGTCTTGATAATGGTGGGGCAGCGTGGGGGGAAAAGATCCCCCCCAAGTAAACTATGGGGAGGGGCCAGATCACCCTCATGTGGGTGTCAATTTGGAGCAACTTAGTGTGACATGAATAGGTTTCTGGGTGGAGAACATATGAGATAAGGGAGTACCTTGCTGCCGAGGAAGCATTTGGCCCTCACCTTAACCTCTATTCACCTTGCTGGATTGGGCCCAAGGGGCACTTGTGCCAGTGCATGCCCTGTTGTGTCATTTCCTGTTCTCCCTGCCCCCTTCAGCACCCCAAAAATGCCGCCCCTGCCTGTCCCCAACTGGCCGGCAGGTGCAGGGGGCGTTAGCCCAGCAGCGCAGCAGGGAGAGGCGTGTGGCGCGCAGGCCCCACGTTCGCTAGCTGGGGAATGCTGATAATGCACTGACTCGCTGGGGCAAGCCGCCAGCCGCACCAACACCCTGCACCAGCTCCGGCTCCAGCCCCGAGTGGGCCTGGCTTTGGCAGCAGCCAAGGACAGATGTACCTCCCTGCCCTGGGAGTGAATCTACCAGCAGGCCTGGGGCAGCCTGACACAATATAATGTGTGCATTGTATGTGGGGAGGGGGAGGGGTGCGCACTGTATGCAGAGGGACATATGCAAACACTGCGTGCACACGCAGTTGTGCACTCTCACGCATCAGATAAGTCTCCTCCATGGTAGGTCGGTGGAGGGGCTGAAGGATGCTGTCTCTCTTGAGCGTGCCCTTGCGGGCTGTGTCCTGGCACGGAGCCATCCTTGGCAGCGGTGGTGGGGAGGGGGGAGCAGGGGACGCGTGGCTTGCCTTGCTGAGTCTCTTTCGGAGGAGAATTTTGATGATGAGGCAATGCCACCTCATCACTTTTTTGATCTCTCCCTCCTGCTGTACTGCCAGGGCTGCTGTATCTCTCTCTCTCTCTCTCTAGATGCTAGCCTGCGCCCACCACTCGCTCTGTCCAAGCTGGTGGGAGGGCCTGGGTGGTTTGCTTTTTTTTTTTCTTTCCTTTGGATGCAGAGAATTGGATGGAAGCACTGTCCTTTGCCCAGCCCAAAGTTATAAACAAGGCTGTTTCATACTACGCAGGGGCCAACTTGCCTTTTCAGACCAGACTGTTTGTCCCTCCCCCCCTCCCTCCCTCCAGGGAAAACCATATTTGGCTGCAGAAACCCCCAAATCAGGGCTTCCCTAGCCCTGTGCAGGCTCCTGCCAGGTTTCACCTGCAGCTCATTAGCTGGGACGCCTTGTAATTGCCTGTGGGGCTGTCCCACAAAGACCTGCTGCTAGGCCCACTTTTTTCCGACTGCAGGTTTATTGACCTCAGAAATGCTGAGTCAGGCAAAGGCGAGGGTTATGGAAAAGCCTCTCTAGAGGTTACAGACAGAAATGGCATGTGGCTTCCAGCCATCCTGTGTGTCAGCCCTCACCCCTCGCTCCCATTACCTAGCACCAGGCAGTGGGGCTGGAGGAGGTTGGTGGTGCTGACCCAGCTGCCTGGGAAATGCTGGTCTCTGGCATTTTGCCATGTTTATGAACCTCTGCAGTGGTCAGAGTGGGAACAGCCGAGTCCTGCCACCTCTCCTGCCAGCGTTTACCGTCCCTGGGGGTGCAGCAAAAGTCCCCTTAAGCCCCTATGGTTGTGGTATCACCCATGTGCTTCCCTCCAGGTTGCCATCTCCCTTCGCTTTTCCTTTCTCATCGTTCCCTCCTTTAACCAGAACTTGTCAGACCAGAGCCCCCATGTCACAAATGTCAGGAGGCCATTGTCTGCGTTGCAGCTGGGCCCAAGCAGAGATCAGGACTCACTGATGCTGGATGCTGTACAGGGAGGCACAGCCCCTGTTGTAAGGAGGTTGCAGTCTAACGAGACAAGCAGAGAGAGAGAGAGGACGAGGTGGGCAGTGGAGGCTCAGACCAGGGAGTGACTTGCCACAGGCTGCACAGCAGGTTAGAGGAGCAGAGCCTCGATCTCGGGGGCCCAGCAGAGCCCCCGCCCCGTGGACAGGGCCGACTCGCAGGCTGCCCCAGACTAACGACACTGGCCATTTAAACTCACACTCCCCGGCTCGGTTTGCCTTCCCCATTTAGCCCACCAGCTTCCCCTTTGACCCTCTCTCAGCTGGGAGGGTGACGGAGGCAGCCTGACATCAATCCCCCGAGTTTTACTTCCTAGTTCTGTAGCAGCCCTGTTAAAGTGTAATTAAAAAAGAAAAAAACTCTTTAAAAGGGGAAATAATTTTAATTGTTTTTTTTGTTGTAAAACCTTTGTTTAGAAACTTAGATTCAAGGGAGCAAGCTCTTAGACCATGTCCCTTGAATGTGACCCAGAGCTGTCCCCATTGCCCCTGAAGCTAACCTGCCAGGGGGAACTGGTGTGAACCAGGGCTCTCCAACTGGTGACCCGCCGGCCTCGTGGAGCCCATGGGCTCCTGCCCAGTCACTGCTCCCCTCAGTGCTTTTCATGCAGTGATACCACGGGGCTCCAAGCTCCCTCTCCTTCCCCTGCTTCTGCCTCCCCCGCAGGAGTGGAGGCAGGGGTCTTGCAGCAGGAGGGGGCCAAGTTAATGGCTTGAGGGTGCTGCAGACATGACCTCTCAACCTTGGAGAAGTTGGATAGCCCCGGTAAACAATTATGACTCCATGCTTATGTACCTTCCTTCAGATGGTAGGAATGTCTTTAAGCTTACTGTATCCTGTAGTCCATAGCCAGAACTTTCTTGTGGTTACTGCGCTCCTTATTAATGATTTGTATTGAGATAATAGCTAGGAACCCCAGTCTTGGGCCAGGCAGTAGTGTATATAGCACAGAATAGAAAGGCTGGGGCTGCTGGGCCCTCCCCAGGGTAGAGCTGGTATCTGGGAAGCAGATTGCCTCTCACCAAACAGGCCAGCACTTCCCGGGGTAGCAGAAAGGTATGGAGTTTGCAATAGTAAATCCAAATAATGGAATGAGGCCTTGGAAGGGGCTAAATCTTTCCACTTCAGGGGTGGCATCAGCCTCCCCTGAACACACCGACTGGTCGGGAGGAGGTTATCCCAGTAAAACAGTTGGTGTCATACTGTCTGATTCACTCTGATAGCTTAGCTCCTGGGTTCCCCCCCAGGCACGGGATGGGCTGCCCTAGAGATGTGCTTCAGGTCTGACCTTCTCCGGGAAGGGCTCTGGGACGCTGCCTCACCAGATTGTGTTGCTCCTGGTCTCCCTGGATGGCTCGTGCCACACTATGTGGGTTTACTAGGTGGATGCTTGTCTGTTAAGAACCACACAGAAACCCACCAGCCTGTTTCACACAGGCTCCCAAACAGCCATTGAATGGCAGCAGCTTGCTAAAAATACAGTTCCACTCCCACCCCCAGTGTCATTGCACCGAGCCACCCCAATCTCTTCCAGGACTGTTTGTTAGCATCCGGCCAAGAGCGGGTGGAGCATCTGAGGTCGGAGGGACTCCCCGGCCCATGAATTGTAGGAGGTAGCAGGGTTTCCATCCCTATTGGGACCTGGTGGTGCGTTGGGGCGCAGGGTCTGAAGGCTGCGGGCTGACACCCCCTTTCCTTTCTGTCCTTGCAGGCAGGACAAGCTGAAGGTTCACATGAGGAAACACACAGGTGAGAAACCATACCTGTGCCAGCAGTGCGGGGCCGCTTTTGCTCACAACTACGACTTGAAGAACCACATGCGTGTTCACACTGGCTTGCGGCCCTACCAGTGCGACAGTTGCTTCAAGACTTTCGTCCGATCTGACCACTTGCACAGGCACCTTAAAAAAGATGGTTGCAACGGTATCCCATCCAGAAGGGGACGGAAGCCCCGGGTGAGAGATGTTGGCGGCTTGGCCGCCTCTACAGGGAACCCCGAAGACGGAAGCTTTCAAGGTGATGGCGAGAATCAAGAGTCAGAGGACACCACGCAGAGAAACAGCCCAGAGCAGCACTTTGAAGATAGCCCTAACGATGAAGCATCAGGAAGTTTGAATGTAGCAGGGGGGTCGTCTGAGGGTAACAACATTCAAGGACTCTCCTAAACCAAAAAAAAAAGGTGTCACAAAATCTAGTTAGTACTTTCCTCCAATTTCTCTTCAAAGATGTTTCTCTCCCTTTTTAAAACAAAATGAGATATATATATCTATAGATATAGGTATAGATATATATATATATACATATATATATATGTGTGTGTGTGTGTAACGTTTCCAATCTTCTCATCATAGCCAGGCTTCCTTTGGGAAGCTTTTCTAGCCAAGGGCCTTTTCTTTGAAGGCAGATTCTTAGGAAGTTTGGGTTGAGGGTGGCAAGATGGGTCTGTAACATGGAAAGAAGCTTCCATGTAAATCCAAAGCTTTATTTTGTGTCCAGACACACACAAAACAAATTCTGAGATGCATCTCTTAAAAAAAAAGAAATGATGGAAAAATGCTAAGAGCTGAATGAACTTTCCTGGGCAGTTGATACTTTTGGTGCCTCTGTTTGGCTGGACTGGGAAAAATCAAGCTCAGATTTTTTTGCTTCTTCTGTTTTGGAAAGATAAAGCTCCCGATGCCTGAGATGCTCATCGCAGGGTATCTGATACCTCCCAGGGGTTTGGGTCTTTCCTTCCCTGATGCTGAGTAAATTGAGGTAGCTTTGGCAAAATCGTCCTTCAGAGCAGCCCCAGTGCAATTATATTCACTTGCTATTTGTGATAATGGAGGGGGTGGGGATTAGGGATACTTTACACATTGATTTAAAAATGTTTATGCCGTGTGTGTAGACAGACAAAATTCTGCTCCAGACATCATGCTTGAAATGCCTACAGTAACAACCAGGGTCCTTCCTATAAGTTTAGCACTTCGTCCCTGACTGGGAGTAGGTTGTAATCCTGGCTCTGCTCTCACATCCCTTTGTGATGTCAGGCAAAGCCACTTTTCCATGGGTCTCAGCTTCCTCAGTTGTAAAAATGAGGCTAATGCTATTTGTCCACATTTGTAAAGTGCTTTGAGATCTAGGGAGTCCACATCATGAGGGGAAGACTAACTCTTCTGCTTCCAAGGCAGATGAGAAACAAACAGACAAACCTGTGCACCCTGCAGGGGAACCGCGTGAGATTCTCTTGGACAAGACAGTGGTTTTCAGCTGGGGTGCTGCTATTCCCCATCAGGGGTGCCAGGATGCAGGTACTGCCACCATGGTGACAGCCATGAACATGCTTCTGCTGCATTAGGGCTCTGTTCAGCCTAAAGCAGGCAGGAGCTGGCTTGGCCATAGCCCTTCCCAGTCCACCAGTGTACCTTTCTTTCCAGGCGGAGCATTGGGGCTGCTGGACCAAGAAGGGCTGCACAGCATGAGGCAGCTCCTGCCTGCTTTAGGGTGATTAAAGCCCTAATGTAGGAGCGCGCTCATGTGCCACAGCCCTTCCTGGATCGGCTGTGCAGTAGTTGTAGGCCAGCTTTATCTGGAGATAGCAACACCCAGTTGAGAAACTCTGAAGTAGTTGAGCAGCACCGACAGTGGTTCTCAACCAGGGGTGCCGCCACCTTCCAGAAAGTGGTGCAGGGGGACTGTGGCTCTGAAAAGGCTGAGATCCACTGCCTTAAGTGGTGGCCTCGTCTGCTCAGGTGGCACTTTTCCTGAGAGCGCTTGACCTGCCTGGTGAGCAGCACATATATACATCCTGTCCCCCACCTCAGAGATGGCTGTATTTCAGCCGGTACTATGTGGTTGTAGATTGTAATATGGTATAGCACTAAAAGTCTTGTGTGAGTGTTAGATGTCAGTAGAAAGAGAATCTTGTGGCAACAAAACTAACTCCTCCTTGCATATTGATAACCCTGAGTGGGACAGGGAATATGAGAAAGCAACAAAAATTCCAGACAGTCTCTGATTCAGGGATGAGTTAGCAACACCCGCTTTATTTTTTAGTGCCTGGCTCCGTGATGACGAACTCTAGGTGTAGTAGAGCCAAGAGCTGTTCCATTGCAACTGGGACATCCTGACTTTCCCTTTTACAACATAGCACTTACTTTCTCTTCCCTGTTTATTCATACTCTACTCCCGAATCCCAACTCCAGTCGTGAAGCTATGGTCATCTCTAGGATAGGGCAGAAGCCTTTGAGGCTCACAGCGACCCAGTGATCACTGGAGTGGCTTCTTAACCTCAGCCTTCAGCCTTCCTGAGCAGCTGCTGCATGGCCTAGTGACAGTCCTTAGCACTTGCTACATTGCACCTTTCAGCCCAGGATCTCAAAGCACTCGATTCCATGATTATTTAAGTTGAAAGAATTTCTTGGATGAGGATTATCCCGGAGATTTTAGGAATGAGAGCAATGGTGTCAAAGCACACCCTAAAAAGGAGCTAGAAATGAGAGATGTCCTGCAAAGGTTATTTAGGATTTCCCTTAAAGATTCAGGGAATCATTATGAGGAGAGAATTGGTAGGGCTAGAAATAAAAGTCTGCTGAAGCTGCTATCCCTTTAAGGCTTAGGGGATTTGGAAACGTCTCTCCTATGAGCACCTTGCGCTGGGTCATCACACACCCTGACTTCTGGGGTATGTAGTTCTGGTCCATCAGACGGGCACCAAAGTATTCACTGTCCAGCAGAGGCAGGGACTGTTATTTATTTGGATCGGTGGTGCTGAAAGCCTTGCGCGGAGGATACCAATGGAACTAAGGTGCTGGCAGTGCCACGGGGCAGAAGAGGCAGCCTGCGGGCCTCTTAATGCAATGCATAGCAGGTTCCTTCAGCATCACCCAGCGCCCTGTTTCAGTGCCAAACAGACTTGGAAGTGACCTGTCTGGGAGATCCTTATGATCGTAGGCCAGCGACTCCTTGAGATAAAGAGGGTCAGGCCCTGTTCTCCCTAACAAAGGCCCCTTCCCAGCTCTCAGACAGCACAGAAAGATGGTAAAACAACTAGAAAATTACACCCACAGCTGGGCTGAGTACAGGAAAGAGGCAGGTGTTGCTTTCAGCTTCTCCAGCATGTAGGATCTTGTCCCAATGTAGCTCTTTGGCTTGGGGGTGATGTCTTACCAGTAGAGCTACACTGGGGCAGTCCCTCGTGCGGTCTCAGTTTGAGCCATGTAAAGGTCATTGTACTGTCACGTGCAGGAAGGAGAGTTGCTGTGCCGGTGTAAACACCTTTGCCCTAGTCCACCGGGCTACCGTGTAGGGCTTGAGGGATGTCACTAGCAGTCCTGGCTCTGTGATCTGAAATATCTCCCAGGGGTCACTCCCCAGCCTGTTCCCCAGCTCTCTAGCGAGACAAGTCCCTGCATATAGAGACAAGTAGATGGGTGGGTACACAGCACACCCCGCTCCAGGTTAGGAGAGGACAGATAAGGCACCTTTCAGCCATTCACCTGGTTTTTAAATGCACAGTGTAAAATGAAAAGAGATTCTAGTCCTTTAATTTTAAAAGCACTTTTTAGATTCTTTTTTGTTTGTTTTTTGATTTCCAAGTGAGAGCAGGTTTGGCTGAATGTAATTGGAGCGGGAGTGAGATGGGCGTGTGAGGGGGGAGGGGGCGCGTGGCGGGGTCGGGGGGGAGCTGGATGTTTATTTAATGCAGAAAAAGCAATAAAAATAAAAAACCATTATAAAAAATATATAAAAAAACAAAGAAGTCTTAGCACTTTGCGATGGAACGGGTACTTTGAGATCACTTTATCTTAATTTAAAAAAAAAAAAGCAAAAGCGAAACATGTTTACAAGTCAAAACCAACTTCTACGGAAAGAAATTATTATTAAAAAAAAATTCCTAAATTTATTTTTGTAAGAAAAAAATGTGTATATAGATATAAAAAAAAAAGAAAAATCAATTTCCCTCGGCAGAACCCAACGTATCTATCACAGAGTAATAAACCCAGAAGACCCACCATGTGAGGAATGATGCTAATTAGGTTCTGTGACATGACGTGAAAACAAACCCCTCAGAAGTGATTGCACTTCACAAAACAGAAGCTTGAATTTTAGGCAGGAATCATGGTTTCTTTTTTTGTGTATTGTTTATTCCCCCCCCACCCCCCCCCCTTTTTTTTTTTTTTGTTTCTTAAATGTCTTATAGCCAGTGCTAGCCCAGATGTCTCTCCCATCTCCCCCACGCCCCGTCCCCTGGGAACATCTTAGTTCATACAGTTCTAGGTAGAAAGAAGACTGCTAAGCTGACCGACAGTGCTATTTATCAGGAGAAAAGGGCCCTGGGATGGTAGGTGCCCCCGTGCTTGTCTTTGGTTGATTTTGGAGGGTCGGCAGAGGAGTATACGCAGCCCCTGTGTACATAGCTTCAAGCTTTACTAATTTAACATTCCCCAGCTCTGCCTGTTGCCATATAAATATCGGCTGGTGCCACCCCACTGTTTGGACAGCAGTCAGTGCAAAGGGAGGCATTCAGGTTTGAAACCTATTTGCTGATGGCTAATGTGGGACTTCAGGATCAGGGCTTAAAGATGATAATGTGCAGAAACCGCCTCCCCTAACTCCCACTGGAGCCAGGATCAGATTTGAGAGATGGAGGGAGATCACCTTTCAAATTAAATCAAGAGAAATCGGAGTAGTCCAAAAAAGAAATGGAAATAAATCCTTTGTTGATTCTTTTCACCCACCATTTGGCCAGACCTTTGCCCAGATCTCAGCATGGGATCTCCATCTTCCTAGCGTTTAAAGTGAAAACCTGTTGGCAACAGCGCAGAGGGTGGTTCCTTCCTCCCTGTCGAAAGGTGCATTAATACCGCTCTCCCCTCCCAATTCTGTCCCGTGCAGAGAGGGTGGTGGGAGGCAGGGGAATATCCCATGACCTGGGCACTAGATGGACAAGGCAAGCCACCTCTTCCAGGGATGAACCTCTGCTTAGCACTGGCTAACTCTTGCATATGCAAAAACTAGTGTGGACTTGTAAATAGACAGTTACTTGAGGTTCTTTATTGTAATCAAAAGTTGTGGTATCTCTTTTCTAGTTTGTGTTTCCCCCCTCTCTCCCCTGCTTTTAAAGCTAGTGTTTCTCTCCACCCCTCCTTCTGCCATTTGAAAAAAAAACAAACAAACCTCTCTCTTTTCCTTCCGCAACGTGGACAGCAAAAAAAAAAAAAAAAAAAAAAAAGGAAAAATTACAAAAAAATTAGTCTCAGGATTCCTACTGGGGAGAGAGAGAGAGAGAGAGAGTGAGCAAGCAAGAGTCACTCACACACACGTGCTGTGTTTCTCTCCACACCTCCTTCTGCCATTTGAAAAAAAAACAAACAAACCTCTCTCTTTTCCTTCCGCAACGTGGACAGCAAAAAAAAAAAAAAAAAAAAAAAAGGAAAAATTACAAAAAAATTAGTCTCAGGATTCCTACTGGGGAGAGAGAGAGAGAGAGAGAGTGAGCAAGCAAGAGTCACTCACACACACGTGCCCCCTAGATCTATGCTAGAGGGTACCCGCCTGCCTCTTTACAATGCCAGCCTGCCCTGTTTCATCCTGAGATCTCTTTTTTGGAGTTCTTTTCCTCTAAGAAGCAGCATGCAGGGATGGGACTGTTTTGAATGGGGCAGGGCTAAATTTGGTCCCCTTCTGTGTGAAATCTTCCCAGCAAGGAAAGATAAGACCTGAATTGAAACCCCAGATCCAGGGTCATATTCCCAGTGACAGCAGGCGCGTAGTTTAATCAGCGTTCCCCCTGCAAAGCTGTTCTCGGAGCTCCCCTTTTGGGGATTTAACTCTACTAAGGGGAAGGATCCAGAGTCCTGGTCTGGGGTTTGCATTTGGCTCTGTCTCCGCTATGGCAGAGCGTGGAGCTCCGCTGCCCCCTTGCTCCGGGTCTACGCTGACCCGAAAAGAGGGCGGGGGGTCCTCTCTTTCTCTCACTCTAACCCTCACCTCTTCTCCCATCCCCGTTGTTTGCAGTGATGGGCTTGGGAGCAGGTCAGCGATGGTTTATTCTGAACAGAGATACCGCACCTTGTTTGTGATATGAAATGCTTTGACCTTTATTAGAGATCTGGGGAGCTGATGCGTGAGCTTTGAGTGGCGCTAGATTCATGCATCAACATGGCAACACTTTAGCACAAGCCTTGATAAGTTTGCACTAAACAAAAAAAATCCAACCAACCAACCAACAAATGATTCTCATCCCTTCTCCCTATAGGGAGACTAGGAGCTCCGAGTATGTTTTGCCTTAACCTTATGACTTGTCTTACTCTGTGTAACAACCAACAATGGAAATAATAGTGCATGCAAAAACTCCCCAATCGTATACTGTATATAAGTATTGATTTTTATTGTTGTTATTATTATTATTTTTAAATTCAGGTTGTGATAAAGTGTTGCCAAAGATACTGCTGAATTACATTTCAGGAAAAAAACAAAAAAAAGTAACTCCTAAAAAAAACAACAACCAACAACAACAACAACAACAAAACAGCAATTTTTTTATTACTGCCTGTTTTGATTTCTTGGTACAAAAGAAAAATGTAATTTCAGTAGTGGTAAAACTGTGTTTGTTTGCATATGTGTGTCTCAGACAGTGGTTCCCTCTAGGCAGGGGGACTGGGGCCTTCTTCCAAGCTCCTGGAAGAGGACTAAACCCTTAACTGATCAGAGATTGGGATTTCCTCTGAAGCATTTGAGCTAGCTCGGGCTTTTTGGACTTGTCAAACATCCTTGCTACGGGAAGAGAAGGGCATGGCCTGGCTGTGGGCTTGATTGTGTTCCCACGTTGGCATCAGTGGGGAGAATGTCTCACCGTTACGGAATCAAAATTGGGCCTTTGGGTTTCAACACTAAGAGATCTTGGGATCCAGCCCACCCTGGCACTGTGGGAAGCAGAGGAAGCCTTCTCAGATGCTTACGACTCAATAGATTCCCCCCCATCTAGAGGGAAACCCGCCCGGACACACGTGCCGCACCGTGTCTACCACCTTGGCGGAGCACAAAAAAGCCACTCCTGCTTGCATTCTTCCTCTAGGAGACGGCGGGACTCCTCTCCGCTGTGTGCACCGAGGGCCTGTCGAGCTGGCCGCCTCACAACTGGGAGACTTGTTGGAAGCTGTTCTCTCCTCTTTCCACCCCACTCCCCAAATGCAGCTAGTGAATGTAACCCGTGGACATGGCCAAGGGCTGAGGGCAGAGAGGTGGGGAGGGCCAGCTGGCCGCCTGGGGAGAGCCTGCTGGCATCCAGCTTAACGGGGACACGAACAGAACCGTGAGTTCCCACGACTTCTTCAGTGAATACCAAAGTATACTCCACCCTCACCGCAGAGCTCCCGAGGGGCAGGCGGGCAGGGGGTGGGGGGCAGGGGGGAGCTCTCTGATGGGATCTGATCTTAAATCAAACACTTTCCCATTAGAGTGACCTGTAAGGGATTCACTTCTCTATTGGCACAGACTAAAGGCCCTTGGCCCTCCCCAGTGCAGGGAGATGCGGGCCAAGGGCAGTAGCTTCCTAACGTGAGCGTGGGGTGTATTTTCTTCTCCATTGTCATGCTGTAACCATGCCTCATGTATGTCGGTTTATTTCTTCTGTCCCCTTCCCCTTTTCTCTGATCTCCTTTCAAAGATGCTGCATCTCCCCCAGACCCACCACCCCCAGCAATGTGCCCCTCAGCTCCAGCCAGACCCGAAGGCTTTGCTAGCAGACGTCGACCCTGGTGGAGCTTCCAGCTCCTCGGCTGGGGCAGGACACTGCTCTCTCCATGTCCAGATTGGGTTGGGGAGAAGGAGGAAACTTCAGGGCACAAGGCAGATCCCATCTGTCCTAAGGTCCACGCAGCCGGTGGTGCAGGAAGCTGTCTAGGCTGCAGGCAGGTCCTTGCCCCTCCAACCCTGAGTCAGGTCCTGCACCTAAACATAACAACCTGCTTCCCCCCCACCCCCCCACAAGCCTTAAGCATACCCAGACGGTGCGGCAGGGATTCAGCATCTTGGAAGGCAGCAGATTGATTCTTTGCACTAACTAGCCCCATTTGCTTTGATGGGAAACTGTCCTGTTGCACACATGAGCTGAGAGCAAGCCAGGGGCTGTTTCTAAGAGGAGCCCGGGGGCAGTGACAGGTGAGGATGGGAGAGAGAAAGTCACAGGCTCAGCCATTCCTCTTGGTGATGCCGGGCAGGAGAGGGGCAGACTTGTCTCTCCTGCAGGCAAAGGGCTCCTTTCTTTTTTCCTTTAGTGTCTGATGATGTTTAACAATGCGAGTGGTTTGGTTTCTTCTCCCTTTCTCTTCCCCTCCCCATCCCCGCCTCCTCTTGAAAAGTTCTTGATAGTTACACCTAGATTGTAAAGATAGGTCTGGGGACCCCAGGCCCCAGCACCGGGGGAGGAGGGCTGGGAACACATCTGGTAACACCGTTCCCAACTTTGTGGTGGGCTGGAACCAGAGCAAGAGTCCAGCTGCGAGGCAGGGGCCGGGGAGCAAACACAGATACTTGCTGGTGATCTCTTTGCAGTGCAATCAGGTTGTCCATCGGTCAGTGCCAGGCGGTATCCCTGAGTGGGTGTTTCTGTCCTGTGGGAGGCAGGTGAAAGGCTCAG